CCATCGCCAGAAAATACAGTAAAAAAATACACATGCAGTGGAAATAGTGCAGAAAACCACAAAAAGATGGAGGAGAAATAGTTTTTCCTAAAGTTGAAAATGAAGCTAGTGGATTTCTGCCTTCTTTCATGTTGTATTGGTTGCTTTATAGACATGATTCGTAGTAGCAGTCACATTGTAAAAATGTTGATCCTACATTTCTGACAAAATGTTGCCACAGCCCGTCTTTGGTCACTCATGTTTCAAGTTGACTGTCCAACGATCTAGGAGCACAGTTCTGTATTGAAGACCAAAGATTTAATCATGTTTCTCTCACAACTGTTAATTCATTAGCAAGGACCACACCATCACCTCCATGAGATGCAATAAAGGGAATGAGAGGTTAAAGGATTCCTGACGACGGACAATTTCAAAATGCCAGAGGCAATATGATTTTGAGATGTAAATTCACCACTTCTAAGCAGAAGGCAGAAAATGGTGTTATCTTGTAGCCTGACTGTGCAACTGCTTCCATCTCCCTCAGACTCACTCTGGGTCAGAGTCAGCTGCTGCTTGTAACCATCACAGATATCTTCAACATAGAGGAGTTCTCACTCTGCTGCTACTTCAGGGGACATGAAATGACCTCAACTTGAAGAATCTCAGTCGACTGAGGCATCTCCAACTGATCATTTGAATCTTTGATTTTCTCAGCGGGTTTACAACCCGTGTGATTATCTCACCTGTGGATCTCAGCAGCTACTTGTTTTAGTATTGTATCACACACAACAGATAAAAATGATGCAAGTCCCTCAGTGTCTTAAAACTGTTTTTCAGGTTGTAAATTGAGTCAATATTATCTCATCTTTATTTTAATTTACAATCATGCAACTGTTTTTTTTCTCGTTTCATTTGTATGAAGCAACTGGTGTCTTTTAAGAAAACCATTGTCTTGATATGATCGATAGCCCTCCACACAAACATTCAGTTTCCTGACTCAGTTATACTTGTGTGTGGTTGTCTTTGCTCTTCTTACTGGTTTTAAGTGTATGGTGGCTCTGTGCACCAAACACAGCTCAGTAACTTTAGAAACAAGATGTGATGGCTGTTGTGGGCTTGTTGGCATCTGTCCTGTCTTACCACATCCACACAGTCCCAGTGAGTTTTTGAGTGTTTAACTTGTAACATCTCTCATGAGAACGTTTTGTTTGCAACTTTAACTACAATATCGTTTAGTCTTGAATTACTGAAGGAATCTTCTGGGGATTTGAATGGATATCTGACACTAAGACTAGAAAACCTGCAGGCCTTTACAGACCTAAGCTTGATGCAAAGGTATTAGTGTGTAAATTATCTATATGACACATATTACATATCCTACAATATAAGTGACAATCTCTGAAATAGCCAACATGCAATGCATGAAAAAATAAATCCTTCAAACCTCTATATGAACCACACACCAGAACTGTAATAAAACAAATACAGTTTCATTTAATGAAAAAAACATTGACTATAAAATCTTCATTGCAGATGAACCAGGTAAGATGAACACACTCTATGTCATGTCATTCTAACTTCAATCTGTGCCATAGATTGTTTATAAAACACTCTGCACAAAAAATCCAGGACAAACAATTAAAAGACTCACTAATGACAAGGGATAATTCTGATGGAGCATTAACACAGGCCAGGCAAACAGGCAGGTTTGCATCGGGCACTACACTTTAGTTATCTGACAATAAATTCACCATTTCTCCACCCCTCCACTGTAATGTCTCTGAACCAACTCTCACACAAGCTAACTGCTCTATCATGTATGCAGCCAGTGTTAAAGCTGCTCCTGAGCTCATCTAACATCATCTTTATAATATTAACATCTCAGCAGGTTCATTATGGTGCCGGGTAGTCGTGCTCCACCTTCTTCCTGTGATTTGCTGCTAACTTTGGTTCTGTCATTACTGCGGCTGTTTGTGCTTTGCTCTTCCCAGAAATCACTTGTCAATCAGACAGTGTGGTCAGTGCTGTGACGTCTTTCACCCTGGATTTTCTGTGGGTGGCACACATCTCTGACAGCTGACGACTCACTAACTGCCCAGTTAGTCAACTGTTTCATTCAAATAAACCAAAACTGCATGACACACATCACGTCCTTTCATTTTTGGTTGTTTTTTTCCTCGCAACTCTCCCAGCTCTGGAGGTTCATGACAGATTATTTAAAATATTTCATCAGCTACAACTGAGTCAGAACATCTTGTGTGTTACATTAACTGCTGACAGGAATCTGCATTAAATTCTTTAATTCCTGGAAATACAACTTTTAGAAGCAGTGCATTCAACCAAACACACAGATATGTGAGTTCAGCAACACATCGAACCTCTGCTGGAGATTTTCAGACTTTTCATGTGTGTTTTTCCTTTATGCTGCTATGTGCATATGGAGCAGCAGGTCTGGCTGTTGTCTGCAGCGTTCAGCTGAAGTTGTTCTTGGCAGGATATTATTCCAGGGGAGAGCGCTCTCCTGTAGTTGGAGGATAAATCCAGGTAAACCGTTGGTATGCCACGCGATAAATCTCTGTGGCGTAGCTGCTGCCAGAGGGCACACATGCACACATTCAGAGCTCAGGTTCACAACAACACGGGAGACTACCAGTGCTGTCAGGTACCCTGGTCCAAGAGGACGATTTCCTCACCTCGTGTGTGAGAGTGTTCAGTTATTCTGTCCCCTCGTAATGACTGTTTTTGTTTCAAAGGTGATAAATGTGTCCTGGACCACCTTTCAACCTGTGTCAGGCTCACTCCTCACCCAACTGATTTATGCACTGCAGAGTAGCCCTGAGGGGGAAGTGTGTACAGTGTGTGTATATACATGGTGTGAGTATTCACTATCAGCTATCCACTCTAAATCAAGAGTGAACATACAGGCAAACTATTTGATTGTCTCAATATTATTATCATGTTATTTTTTTATTTAATCAGGAGTCAGGGGCTCAGACCACAGATTTCAACAGGATTATTTGATTAGAGGCTCTGCTGCCAATCGTCTCTTCTTTTCATATGCACCTTACAATATTAGCTTCTTGTTAAAAGATGTCCTATGTGAAAAATATTTGTGCTAATCAAAATACTTTAACATGTAGCTGATGTGTAACTGGACTGTTGGACAGGGGCGACATCTTGTGGTCAGACCTAGAGATGCAGTGTAAAAACAGGGATAACGTAATGGTGATGCTTACAGGTAAATCTACTCCCGTCTTCTTCCACTGCATAAACTCAGCTCAGCCTCAGCTCTGACGGAGATCACTGAATTATCCTTCCTCAGAGACTTCCAAAAGACATTTTTCACACTGGTGCCAAGCAATTTTTTTTTTAAGTTTTGTCCCATGTTGAGTATTAGCTCTTGTGACCTCACAATAGATAAATGGGTGAATCAATAAGCCAGAATGGTACTAGTCCCCTTAAATTCAATAATTTAAATTACAAATTTAAAAAAAACTCATATAGTTCCGTAAATGTGCCTGATCCATGACTTGGTAAAAACAAGTGAAAATGTAAAAAAGTGGATGATCTTTTCCACAATTTGTTCGATCGGCCCCTTGCTCCAAATCTACAAACTGTCATGGGTTCTCTGCTGACCCATCCTTCCACTAAGTTTTGTAGAAAAATGGTTGATTGTTGGAGTTTAATCTTTTTTACAAACAAACAAATGGACAGGGGTAAAAATAAATAAACCTCGTTGGTGGAGGTAAACTTTACAATTTTTTTACCCGGTGGTATTGTTCATCCTAAAAATTAGAACAGTTTTGTTGCTTTTTAGTGTTTGTAAGTTGTAGAGTCTTGATATGTAATTCAAATTCATGTAGAAATCCTGTGAATTTAGGGTTACTGTTTGTCACTTTTTATTCATGGATGTGAAATCTACTGTACAGAATCATCAGGTTTATATATCGTCAAATATGACCCTAATATTAGATTTACACAATGTATGATACTTCAATCGAGTCCAACGATTTAGAAATGGATGCAATAGTAAAATAAGTGTGTGAAAGAGTCTGGTTAGTCGTAAAATGTACAAAACTGTGCAGCTAAATTGTCATAAAAGGCAGAAGACAAGAAAAGGTAAATATAAAGCAAAGAACACCTGATCACCTGGCAGTATATGCAGTGGAGATGTTGGCAATAACAATGGCAAATACAGTGGACAGAGCTAAACAAGTTAAAAAAAGGTTATAGTATGTTCAGATTCACTATCAGCATTGTTATCACTACGATCAATGTCATCCCACTGCAGAGCAGATGTTCTTTATGAAATATATGAAACACTATATATATAGTGGTACTTGTGCGGCCTGTGGTACTGTGGTCTGTATATATATATATATATATATATATATATATATATATATATCATTCACAAACTGAAGTCTGATTTATGTGGATCCAAGCTCACTGGGAAGGGTGATAAAAGGGCAGACTCACTCGCTTAGCAAGCATTAAAACATTCAGTAAGGCCAAAGCCAAAACAATATTTAGAAGTAGCATCATGACTGACTGGCAAAAACAATGGGATTGAGAGAGAAAAGGACGACATCTGTATCAAATAAAAGTGGGAGGAATGAAAACAATAGGGACAAACACGGGAGAACAAACAGTTATATCAAGGCTAAGAATAGGACACAAGACTAAACAAAACAATGCATCTAATAGGGAAGCAGCAGTCAGGACAGTGTGAACGTGGTTTGTTTAGGGGAGGAAACTGTCCGATATATAACACAGAGAGGGGGAAACTGAAGAATGTGTTGAGTATTGGAGGAGGGAAACATAAAGTATTGTGTGAGTTTTGAAAAGAAACTGCTATGGTTGTTGTTTTTCATTCATATATTTCCGCAGACCAAACACTGTAATCCACACTCCTGCATAGTAGGGGGCGGTAATGCGCCTTTGACGTTAGCTGCCACCCGCCAGTGAAGAAGAAGAAGAAGAAGAAGAAGAAGAAGAAAAAGAAGAAGAAGAAGAGTGAGTGAGTTTTTAAAAGAAACTGCTGTTTGTTGTTGTTTTGTATTCATGTATTTCCTCAGACCAAGAAGAAGAAACGGAACCGAAACATTTGTTCAGTCGTCTCTTCTACTCGGACTTGTTTACTGGTGGCACACTGGGAACAGCTGTTGTGATTCGGCTTAGCTAGTAGCTCGCTACAGTCAACTTACTGACCATATTAAACGTGAATTTAGTTTTTGCACAGCTTTTATATTTCCCAGGTACGTGCTCCATTATCTCAACTAATATCTTAACGTTACTGGGCAGCAAGTCAAACGTGAGCTAGCATCAACATTAGCAAGTCATTTAGACAGACTTGATTTGCTGACGTTTAACTTACCAGGGTTAATGTCAGACTTTCAACAGTGAGGAAAATAGAAACAAATGTTTTTTTAGCTTCGTAAAGGAGCTATGTCTTTAACATAGAAAATGTCGATTACACGTGTTATTGTTGCTTATTAACATTTTGCGTCCTTGCCGTTACTCTCGGTCTGTTTCTCAGTGAGATAATGACGTTAGCTGAAATGTATGCAGCCTCACCGTCAATTAGATGAACATGACTTTGCTAAATGCGTTCACATTAAGACTGAAGACTAATGAACTGTCTCATATTCTTTACATCTCAAATGAGCATCACATCACTATTTAAAGAGGTTATAGCCATGTTCAGATATTGTTCATATGTGTCTGCGCTAAGTTGTTATACTCTGATCAAGGGGGCTTTGCTGATGACTTGTATGTTGCATTTATATAGGAACTCAGTGTAATTGTTGGTGGTTTGTATTATAATTGAGAACACAGTCAGTTGATATTTTTGACATGGTCTCACAGACTATCTTCTCTTGAACCCTCTTAGGTTGATCGAGGCCTGTTGCCATGGAGCCCACCTGCCGTAAGGACAAGCCAAAGCTGAACTCTACCCCGACAAGAGGCGATAGAGGCAGACAGAAGTCTGCACAGCAAGAGCTCAAACAGAGACAGAGAGCAGAGGTGACAAACTTCATCACTACTCATTTATTTTCAAACCTGATCTGATGTCCAAAGTAAACATCTAATGTTGCCTCCGTCTTTATTTTCAGATCTATGCTTTGAACAAGGTGATGACAGAGTTGGAGCAGCAGCAGTTCGAGGCCTTCTGTAAACAGATGCAGTCACAGGGAGAATAGAGTCCTGCCTGCTCTGTCTTCCACCTGGACAAAGTCACCTGGCACAGTCCAAATACACAACATACAGCTATTACATACACACTTCAGTCAGAAATGTCTGCAGTGTTCAAGTGGGCGGTGGCACCGAATGCAGAGGCCGGACGCCATGTATTGATTCCTCAATGGAGATCACATATTTCTGTTTACAGCATATCCACTCAGGCATCAGCCCTCACCACCAAAGGCTCTCTAGACATCTTAATCAGTGTGGCACTACTTTTCATTCTGAGATATTTATATATACTGTTTTTTTTTGGGGGGGGGGTTTGTGTCCATTGCATGTTAAAAACATCAACACACTCACTCTTAGTGAATCCTCCAGATAATATCCTGCTGTGTTCTCACTTGGGCTCTTGTGGACATAATCATTATTAAAGTTTTTTTCTAGGGAGCTGGCAAGAAAAACTCTGTAGATAGTCTCATTCGGACATTTGCGTTCTCACATACAGCCCCTGTGTCCTTAATGAGAGCAGGAAGTTTCATATTTCCTACAGACACATCAACTGGCTGACATTTTCTTTCCTTAATTATCAACCTTTTTAACATTGAGGCAATGTAACTCAGGCAACTGAGTTTTTGTAAAAAATGTTCACTAGTGTCCACAGTTATAAAGGTCATATGCTCATATGAACTTGACATGGAATCACTCAAGGTATTACAGTGTTGATACAGAAGAATGGACCAGTTAAAAGTTCATTCTTTGTAGACAGAACTAAGATCTATTTTAGTATTTTGACTGATTGGATAATGTTTCATGATCATGCTCAACATGACCACCCAACTCAAGTCCTTGTTGAGTTTGGTCCCTATGGTTATATCTGTAGATTGGGTCAGAAACCTAACATCTTTTTTGAAGTTATTACCAGAAGCGTTGGAACATTTCTGTCTGTTACCTTTGTCTCAGAGGCAGCAACCTGTAATAACATTGCCCACAGCATTACAGCTAGATTGTTCTTATCTGTTGCTCTTGCTCTTTTGACGTAAACGATGCAGTGCTAGACTTTTTAACATGGCCATGATAAGGAAAAATTTTACACTAAACTAAAAAAACTGTTAACCACAGCTAGTGTTGAAATGCTGTATTTCATAGCCACTGGTTGTCAGTATGACTAGCTGAACTAAAGCTAATTCATGTGATTCATGTAGCTTTAAACTGAACAGTGCCCTTAATATGTTGAGTAAATGGTGCTTGCATTGAACATTAACTTGTCAGTAATGTGCAATGCCAACTGGCCTATATATGTATTGTCACAAGTTTTCAATCCAACCTTTATTTATGGCTGATGTCAGTTAAGTATTTATATTATGTAACGTATGTCAGCCACTTGAGAATATGAGTTGTACAGTTTTAATGAATTGAATGAAAATAAAAATGAGTTTTTTTTAATGTTCCATGTGTTTCACATGCATGAGCATGGGGCCAACTCTGTTGTAATTCTGTTACCTTGAGCTTTGAGGGATTTGAAAAGAAAAGCCCCGGTCCTGATCATACAAACCAACCAACCTTATACATTTAATTCAAAGTTTAAAACTGCTTCAGTTATCGCTGAGAAAGACAGACGCCACCTGTTACTACACACCCACTACTGTAGTGGTCTAATCATCG